GTTATACATTTTATTATCATTTCGTCTGCCTTTAAAATTTTATTGCAATATTATAAAATTGTATTCATGGYATTTTATAAATGTATAAAACTGTGGTTTATTTCTATCATAATTTACATTTGAATGTTCAAAAAATCCAATTTGTATGTGACTCTGGACACAATCGCAATGAGCTGTTGATTAAGTGGGTAGTTGGTAGTTGGTAATATAGTGGATCTAAGAGAAAAGAAGTTGTGAAATATTTCAAATATTCCCTCTGTATGAGACTTTTCTGGAAGCCAAAAAAAAAATGGTATTTACATAATTCGAGTATTAGTAATATTACTGAAAYTAAAAGTATACTATACATACTCAATGTCTTCTTGATCATACAGTATTAATTTTTGAGATTCAGTCTTCTGGACAGTTAATAGATATAAAAGAAACATTTATTGTGATAATTTGCATGTGGACGTGGCAGTGTTGCTGAACTCTATGTTAAGGATGGGCCATACTCATCACCTAACCCGAAACTATAGGATAGGGCTGCTTCATATTTACCACTTTGCTCTCCAAAGGTATGCCATTTTTGCCAACATTAGGATATTGGGTCTCTTGAAATATTTTTCGTCTTCCTAGATTTTTAAGAATTCGCCACCACTGAGTTGTGGTCATAGCAGCGCCTGGCCTATACAAACTTACACTTTAATAATTTTACTACATCATTCATAGCTGAATTAATAAAATAATAAATAAGAGTGGAATACCAGAATAGGTATAATATATCTTTATTACCAATTATTAGTTATAAAATACATTTTTTTTTAAATAAAATCACGAAAGACATACACAATTAAAACTACAAATCACAATTATTTTACTCAGTAGCGCCAAAGTAGTTCCCTGGCAGAAATTTAAAAATATATAGGTAATTTATCAAAAAATTTTCAAGTACACTTGTTATTTTGCTCCACCATACCCCTTAAATCTAAATTTGTATAACATTTATTATTTTTACACATAAATAAATGATTTGAAAATTTTTGAGGTTTTGATGAAATATTAAAAAATATAAAATTCAAATGGTTATAAAAAAAGTATTTTTATGTAATGCTATTGGCCAAAGATGTTGAAGCAGAAATTATTACCTAAGTATTTATCRATCTTCAATGCTTTTGAACTATTATTGTAGCAACTAATAAAGAACCTTATTGTAAGTTGTATTACATTTTCAAGCTTTTGGACTTGGCAAACATTT